TGTGTGTGACTGTCTGTGAGTGTGTGACTGTGTGTGTGACTGTCTGTGTGTGTGTCTGTCTGTGTGTGTGACTGTCTCTGTGTGTGACTGTCTGCGTGTGTGTGACTGTCTGCCTGTGTGTGACTGTGTGTGTGTGACTGTGTGTGTATGGCTGTCTGCCTGTGTGTGTGTGTGTGAGTGTGTGGCTGTCTGCCTGTGTATGTGGCTGTCTGCCTGTGTGTTAAACTGTCTGTCTCTGTGTGTGTGTGTGTGTGTGTGTGACTGTCTGCCTGTGTGTGTGTGTGTGGCTGTCTGCCTGCCTCTGTATGTGTGGATGTTTGCCTTGGTGTCAGTGACTGTCTGCCTCTGTGTGTGTGTGTGTGCGCGCATCTGCTAGTGAGGGAGCCTCTGTGTGTGTGCCTGCTAGTGAGTTTGTGTGTGTGCCTGCTAGTGAGTGAGCTTGTATGTGTGTCAGTGAGCTTGTCTGTAGGGATCATATGTGTGTGTGTTAGTGAGCTTGTCTGTAAGGAGCATGGGTGTGTTGGAGCCTGTCTGTGGTGAGCATGTGTGTACAGTGAGCTTGTCTGTAATAAGCATGAGTGTGATCGTAAGCTTGTCTGTTGTGACCATAATTGTGTCAGTGAACTTGTCTGTAGTGAGCATGTGTGCTAGTGAGCTTGTCTGTAGTGAATCTGTTTGTTAGTGAGCTCTTCTGTAGGGAGCATGTGTGTGTCAATGGGCTTGTCTGTAGGGAGAGTGTGTGCGCATCAGTGAGCTTGTCTGTAGTAAGCTTGTGTGTGTATCAGAGTTTGTATCAGAGGCATCCAGGGTTACCTCCGGGTACCACAGGCTGGTGAGCGTTAGGTCGGGCAGTCGGCGGGCGATTTTCGTGCAGCAAATCGTAAGTTAAAACGGCCGTCGCAAATTTGGCGGCGCGGCCGTTTTACGTCATCATTAAGGGTCAATTTTCAACACGCTCACAATTACTAGTATAATATAACTTCATACTACAACCTATTCACGTCTTGATACATTGTCACACTATAAGCACACTTATGCTTATTGCTCACGTTACAGGTATTCTTCTGTCCACTCATTAGACGCTGTTACTTAAAGGCATACACGGGTATAGGCACCAGAGCGACCTCTGGTGTCTAATTGTGATTAGAGTTTCTTGTACATGTTCTTTTCATTTATGCAATTTTTTTTAATGTTTCATTAAAGGTTGCAAGTTATTTAAAGCAAGTTATGGCATATTAGGTTACAATCAGTCCAGATACGTTTTATGCGGGGCACATATTTTAAATACAATTCATAGGCTGCTAGCCTAAAAATGACTACGGATTATGGCATTGGGAATTTATATATATGCATGATTAGCACTTAGGATGTCTATTGAACTCTTTTTCAGTATTTTCTCTGCATTCCCACGGTGGGCAGCTATTCTAACCACTTTCACAGGACTTAGGTCAGTTAATTCGAGTTATTTTCTACTTAACAGTCACCCTACGCCAGGGTCCTTATATGTGTTTTCTGTATTTTAGGTATAGGCATCCTTGCTCTTTTGTAAATTGGTGCCCAGTCCTCTGCTAGTGCAATATTACTGGTAGGTATCTGAATAGCAGGGGAGTTAAGGGTCATATTTCTGTGCCCGTACAAATGTATATTACTTTCATAGGTTACTACAGATCGCCTGTACCCCCTTTTCTCCTCATAATAGCTGGCAACTCGCTCATCAGGTACGTCATATCTTCTCGACTATTATTCCCCATACCTACCCTTTCGGGTTTAGTACAGATTTACTGGCTTACAATATATAGGACCCACTAGCTATGTTTTTCTGGCCTCTTATGCCTTACGTTAGTGGTCCCGCGAGGCCAACATCCATCCTCATTTCGGAGGTACAGCATCCCCTCGGGCCCATTCGTAGCTAGCCGCCTCGCTTAGTTGCATAGAGAGGGCCTCACTTGTCACTCCCATTCTGTCTTATGCTGTTACAAATCACAGAGAGGCCTTCACCCCGCCATAATGCCAATGGCCACGTACCCCACACGAGCCAAATCATAGATAGCGCCTCTCATAGCCGCTTGGCTACTGGCAGGGCCTCACCTGTCACGTTACTTAATAATTCTTCGCCGCTTGGCATTAGTTATCATAAGCCAGTTGGATAGCACCCCAGGTAACATGTCATTTTTATGTTATAGCATGTCCCAAGTTCCGGAAGGAAGGGAAGATGAGTCCTTACCCAGTACACCAGCTAGATCAGTCACTCCGTCTCGGGGTGACGACTTCGCAAGCCCTGCCTCACTCAGGGCTTGGACTATTCCCAGGATCATGGCCGAATTAAGGAAGAGAAATATTCCTTTCCCTGCTACGGCTAGGAAAGCAGAAATGTACAGATTGCTGAATACACAGACTGATAACGCAGGGGCGGGTGAAGGGTCCAGTGGCACCCAATCTTCAGATCTGAATACGATTCTGTCCTCAGTCCTGACCTCTTTGGGTCGTATTACTGACAAACTAGACAAAATGGATGCAGAGAGCCAGCAAAAGTCGCTGGCTGCTGCAGTGGATCCGGCCGCTTCGGTCCGTTTGGACCCCCTACCGGGTAATTTACAAAATAGTTTAAAAGACCCACATATTATTAACCCCGCACACATGGTGCCTGCTAAAACAAAAAAGGACATCTTGGAAGGGAAAGATATCAATTTGGTATCTCTTTTGATAGCCTCACAAGATGTCCTTGAAAATAAGACCTATGCATACGGTGATGTGTCAGTGGTACTGAAGTCCAGAGACCCCAGGTTGAATCAGAAGCTATCAATTCCAGAATTTGTACTAGCTTTCGGTATATACAGAGATGTGATATGCTCGGTATACCCAGATAGGAGGGAGGAATTGGACCTGTACCACCACAAGCTGGTGGATTTGGGGCATAAGTACGGTGGTACGTCTTTTTACGACTACCACCATGCCTTTTCCGCGAAGGCGTCGGCAGCCCTTTCACAGTTCAATTATCAAACGGATTGGGGCGTGCTGGATACAGAGCTTTTCTGCCGGCACTCCGCGGGCCTAAAAACCCCAGCTTGTGCCATTTGCTCGTCCAATTCTCACACGGCTAATCTGTGCCCTAATTCTCCAGAGGTAAACGCTGTTTTTCCACCTCCTAATGTAGTACCTGTAGGGAGACCTGGCAGGGTGCTTAAAGATAAACTAGGCTGTGACATAGTGTTTTTGGGTAAATCGCAGGTCTGTAACAATTTCAACTCAGGTTCCTGCGGTTACAGTGCCTGCAGACTTCTCCATGTTTGCTCACTATGTTTCAGAGCTCACTCCAAGGCAATGTGCCCAAATAAATTATACCCTAAGCAGTACTTATCGTCTCTTCATGTCTCCCTACTGAAACAGCTTTTGCGTGATCACCCTTCCCAACATCTCGTTGATTTTTTGGTGACAGGGTTTACGATGGGGTTTCACACGGGTATTATTCACATGCCCACGGGGATCCTGGAATGTAATAATTTGCAGACAGCCTTGGCAGCACCCGACACTATTGACCTACTCCTACAGAAGGAAATTGACCAAGGTTACTTATTAGGCCCTTTCAACTCCCCGCCTTTCGCGGTTTGGAGGACGAACCCCATAGGACTGGTCACCAATAAATCCTCCAATAAACAAAGATTAATTCTCGATCTGTCCGCCCCCCACGCATCTCATACCCCAAGTCTGAATTCACTAATTCCGTCTGAGGAGTTTTCCCTCCAGTATGCCACCATAGATAATGCAGTCATGGCCATACTCTCAGCAGGGGTAGGGGCATGGCTGAGTAAAACTGATATTGCCAACGCTTTTAAGCTGCTCCCTATCCATCCATCCCTATGGCATTTACATGGTGTTAAGTGGCAAAGTTCATATTACTTCTTCACGCGTCTCACGTTTGGCTCTAAAAGCAGCCCCAGGATTTTCGATATCTTCGCTGAAACGTTGTGCTGGATGCTGCTTAACATCTGGAAATGTCCCACAGTTATCCATTACCTGGACGATTTCCTGACCATAGAAAGTAACCTAGTACCTCCCAGTAGCCTCCAGTCTATCACACAACTATTTACACAATTAGGAGTGCCTATTTCACCTACTAAGACTGAAGGTCCAGATACTATCATCCACTTCTTGGGGGTGGTGCTGGACTCTGTACACATGTAAGCTAGCCTTCCCAGGGAAAAGATTGAGCGCATCCTGGCAGCCATCGACCTTTACTTAGGAGGAGGCTCATGCAGGGGCGGACTGAGAGCCTTTGGGGCCCCCGGACAAAATTAGATCCCAGGCCCTTTGAAGGCCAAATATACGTGCATTAAATAAATGTTAAATATAACTCATAATACGGCATTCCTTTGGATGTGTATATTGTGAAGACCTGTGTATCAATGCATGTTTGTATTTGAGTCTGTGTGAATGTACTTGTGCATGTCTGGATGACTACATGTGCTTTTTGTATATAGTGTCTGTGTGAATGCATATGTGACAGGTGACAGAGTGTATGAGGGAGAAGGTGACAGGTGGAAGAGTGTGGGAGGTTGTGACAGGTGGCAGAGTGAGGGGGTACCTGGTGGTAGAGTGAGGGAAGGAGGGGTTGAGTGGTGGCAGAGTGAGGGGGAGACACAGTGAGTGGGGGTGACTGGTGACAGAGGGAGGGAGAGGGGGTGACTAGTGTCAGAGTTAGGGAATGGGTGACTAGTGGCAGAGTGGGGGAGGGAGGGAAGAGATGACTAGTGGCAAAGTGAGGGAGGGAAGAGGTGACTGGTGACAGAGGGAGGGAGTGACTGGTGACAGAGGGAGGGAGTGACTAGTGACAGAGAGAGAAGGGGTGACTGTCACTAGTCACCCCCTCACTCTGTCACTAGTCACCCCCTCTGTCCCTAGTCACCCCCTTCCTCACTCTGTCACTAGTCACCCCATCCCTCTCTCTGTCACTAGTCACCCCATCCCTCTCTCTGTCACTAGTCACCCCATCCCTCTCTGTCACTGTCACTGTGTGAAGGAAGGAAGGGGTGACTGGTGACAGAGTGAGGGATGCCTGGTGACAGAGTGAGGGAAGGGATGACTAGTGGCAGAGTGAGGGAAGGAAGGGATGACTGGTGACAGAGTGAAGGAATGACTGGTGACAGAGTGAGAGAGGGGGTGACTAGTGAAAGAGTGAGAGGGGGTGACTAGTGACAGAGTGATGGAGGGAGTGGGTGACTAGTGACAGAGTGAGGAAGGGGTGACACAGTGACAGAGTGAGGAAGGGGGTGACACAGTGACAGAGTGAAGGAGGTGGTGACTGTCACTAGTCACAACCTCCCTCACTCTGTCCCTAGTCACCCCTCCCTCTGTCACTAGTCACCACTTCCCTCCCTCACTCTGTCACTAGAGTGAGGGGGTGACTAGTGACGGAGTGAGGGAAGGGGTGACTAGTGGCAGAGTGAGGAAAGGAAAGGGTTATTAGTGACAGAGTGAGGGAGGTGGTGACTGTCACCAGTCACCACCTCCCTCCTTCTGTCACTACTCCCTCCCTCCTTCTGTCACTAGTCACCCCCTCTGTCCCTTACTCTGTCACTAGTCACCCCCTAACTCACTCTGTCACTAGTCATCCCCCTAACTCACTCTGTCACCAGTCATCCGCTCACTCTGTCACCAGTCATCCTTTCCTTCCCTCACTCTGCCACTAGTCACCCCTTCCCTCACTCTGTCACCAGTCATTCCCTCACTCTAGTGACAGAGTGAGGGAGGGTGTGACTAGTGACAGAGTGAGGGAGGGTGTGACTAGTGACAGAGTGAGGGAGAGGGTGACTAGTGACAGAGGGAGGGAGTGATTAGTGACAGAGTGAAGGAGGGAATGGGTGACTAGTGACAGAGTGAGGGAGAGGTGACTAGTGACGGGGGGGTTACCTGTGAGGGAGGGTGTGACTAGTGACAGAGGGAGGGAGATGGTGACTAGTGACAGAGGGAGGGAGATGGTGACTAGTGACACAGGGAGGGAGATGGTGACTAGTGACAGAGGGAGGGAGATGGTGACTGTCACTAGTCACCCCATCCCTAACTCTGTCACTAGTCATCCCCTCACTCTGTCACTAGTCACCCACTCCCGCACTCTGTCACTAGTCACCCCCTCCCTCTGTCACTGGTCATCCCCTCCCTCACTCTGTCACTAGTCACCCACTCACTCTAGTGACAGAGTGAGGGAGAGGGTGACTAGTGACAGAGTGAGGGAGGGAAGGGGTGACTAGTGACAGAGTGAGGGAGGGGGATACTAGTGACACAGTGAGGGGGTGACTAGTGACAGAGTGAGGGAGGGGGTTACTAGTGACACAGTGGGGGGGTGACTAGTGACAGTGGGGGGGTGACTAGTGACAGTGAGGGGTGATTAGTGACAGTGAGGGGGTGACTAGTGACAGTGAGGGGGGGTGACTAGTGACAGTGAGGGGGGTGACTAGTGACAGTGGGGGTGACTAGTGACAGTGGGGGTGATTAGTGTAAATAGTGGGGGGTGATCAGTGTCAGTGAAGCTTAGTGTCAGTGGGGGGGGTGACTAGTGACAGTGAGGGGTGATTAGCATTGGGCCAGGAGGGGGGGGGGTGATTTAGTGACAGGAGGGGGGGGAGAGGGGTGATTAGTGACAGTAAGTGACTAGGCATTGCAAGTGGGACTAGTGACAGTGGGGGGTTATTAGTGCTCAAGTGGGGGTGACTAGTGACAGTGGGAGGGGGGAGGGGGTGACTAGTGACAGGGGGAGGGGGTGACTAGGTGACAGTGGGGGGGTGACTAGTGACAGTGGGGGGAGGGGTGATCAGTGACAGTGGGGGGGGTGGGATGACTAGTGACAGTGAGGGGGGATGGAGGGTGACTAGTGACAGTGAGGGGGGTGGAGGGTGACTAGTGACAGTGAGGGGGGTGGAGGGTGACTAGTGACAGTGAGGGGGGTGGAGGGTGACTAGTGACAGTGAGGGGGGAGGGGGTGATTAGTACCTACCTGTCTCTCTGCTCCCTCTGCTCTCTCCCAGGCTGCTGCTCCTTCCCCTCGCTGGGCTCTGTGTGAGAGGAGTAAACAGGAAGTGATGTCACTTCCTGGCCCCTCTCCCCATCACACAGAGCACCGCGTGGGACAGGGAGAAGGAGACCTGGCAGAGAGGAGGTGAAGCTGCCAGGTCTCATGGGAGGGAGGGGGGGGGGGGATTTAGAGAGTGGTAGGCTGTGGGGCCCCGCGCTGCATCAGGGGCCCCACAACCTATCAATTAAAAAGTTTTTTTTTTTTTTTTTGCTGTTCCAGTTGGAGAGATCTCTGATCTCTCCAGCTGGAACATGGCTGTGCTGCCGGGCCCCTGACTGCCTCGGGCCCTCGGTCCATGACCGAAGTGCCCTAGTGGTCAGTCCGCCCCTGGGCTCATGTAATAGGAAGGAGTTGCAATCCTTGTTGGGTTCTTTAAATTTCGCTATGAGAATTATTCCACAAGGTAGAGCATTCATTTCAAGGTTACTTAGCCTGTTTCCAATGTTGCAATCTGACACTTCCCGCATTACTTTAGACGTACAGGCCACCGCTGACCTACATATGTGGAGAGAGTTTTTTGCGAAATTGGAACGGGAAAAGCATGTTTATACCGGTTTGGTCAGAGAAGTCGGTGTCAGTCTGGACGGATGCCGCAGCCACATCAGGATTTGCAGCAATTTGGGGCAATGAGTGGATGTGGGGAGAATGGCCTAGGGAAATTACAGAGATCCCCAAGTTTAAGGACACTTCAGCCTTGTTTGAGCTCTATCCTATCTTAGCGGCAGCAGTTAAGTGGGGAGCAAGTTGGTCTGGGAATACGGTTCGTTGCTTCTCGGACAATATGGCAACATGCCATATTGTAAACAAGGGGCGTTCCTCTTCCCTCACCATCATGTGTTTCATGAGGACTCTCACATGGCTCGCTGCAAAACACAGTTTTCTTCTAACTTGCGTTCATGTGCCTGGGGTTCTCAACGTGGCAGCTGATCACTTATCACCAGGGCCGGACTAGGAGAAAAATTCGGCCCGGGCATTTTTTTAACACAGCGGCCCACTAAAAAGGGGGCGGGGCAGAGGAGGTGTGTTTTGTCATCACCAATGACAAACACGCCTCCTCTCAAAGTGAGCATGTTGGTTCAATGCTCTTCCAGGGCAGACCATGCGCAGAGCTCTGCTGAAGAGCTCTAGCATGAGAGAAAAGTCCTGTATTTGTTCTGCACAGTGCAAGCAAATTTAATAACATGCTTGCACTGTGTTTCCTTGCAACTTGTCTCTGGTGTCTCTATTAATGGATACCAGGAGACAAAAGGCCAGGAAAGAGTATTGTGCATGTGTTTGGAGCCTGCTTGTGGTATTGCGTGTGTGTAGAGTGAGCTGGTCGTGGTGTGGTATTGTGTAATAAGGTCGGTTTTAGTCGTGTTGTGTTTGTGGTGTAATGTAACAACTAGATGGGCCGAATGGTTCTTATCTGACGTCACATTCTATGTTTCTATGTTTCTAATGTGATGCATATGTGGCTCAGGGACCCCCTCCCGCCCGGCTCTGGAAAGGGGTTAAAACTTACCTTTTTCCAGCGCCGGGCGGGGAGCTCTCCTCCTCCGATCCGCCCCGTCGGCTGAATGCACACGCGCGGCAAGAGCTGCGCGCGCATTCAGCCGGTCGCATAGGAAAGCATTATCAATGCTTTCCTATGGACGCTGGCGTGCTCTCACTGTGAAAATCACAGTGAGAAGCACGCAAGCGCCTCTAGCGGCTGTCAATGAGACAGCTGCTAGAGGAAATAGGGGAAGGCTTAACCCATTCATAAACATAGCAGTTTCTCTGAAACTGCTATGTTTATGAAAAAATGGGTTAACCCTAGAAGGACCTGGCACCCAGACCACTTCATTAAGCTGAAGTGGTCTGGGTGCCTAGAGTGGTCCTTTAAGAGTGTAGTGTGTGTGTGTGTATATATATATATATATATATATATATTTGGAAGTATTGTGTATGTGTGTGGTGCAGTGTGTTGGGGGGGTTCTGTGTGTATGTGAGGGGTGCAGTATGTGTGTGTGTAAGGGTGCGGTGTGAGGGGTGCGGTGTGTGTGAGTGCCGTGTGAGAGTGCCGTGTGTGAGTGATGGGTGTGAGAGTGCCGTGTGTGAGAGTGCTGTGTGAGATGGGTGTGAGAGAGTGCTCTGTGAGAGTGCTGTGAGTGTGATGGGTGTGAGAGTGCTGTGAGAGAGTGCTGTGTGTGTGAAAGTGCTGTGTGTGCTGGGTGTGAGAGTGCTGTGTGAGAGAGTGCTGTGTGTGTGTGAGAGTGCTCTGTGAGAGTGCTGTGAGTGTGATGGGTGTGAGAGTGCTGTGTGAGAGAGTGCTGTGTGTGATGGTTGTGAGAGTGCTGGGTGTGAGAGTGCTGTGTGTGATGGGTGTGAGAGTGCTGTGTGAGAGAGTGCTGTGTGTGATGGGTGTGAGAGTGCTGTGTGAAAGAGTGATGGGTGTGAGAGTGCTGGGTGTGAGAGTGCTGTGTGTGATGGGTGTGAGAGTGCTGTATAAATGTTATTGTGTGTGTGTAGGGGGGGTAAATAAAAACAAAAAAAACAGTCCGGAAGCTGGGAGGCGGTGGTCCCTGGTGGTCCTCGTGGGTGAGTGAACTCTAGCCCGCATAGCCTGTGAGGCTAGAGTTCACTCTCGCGAGATTCGGTCGTTGCCATGGCAACGCGCCGGATCTCGCGAGAGGAACCCGGCGGAGCTGCAAGTTAGAGCTCCGCCGGGTCCTCTCTCCAGCCTGGCTGGCTGTCTCCCTCCCTCCCTCCCCGCCGGCGGCCGCATGTGGGCCGGTCAGGGAGATCCTTGATCTCCCCACCGGCCCGTCGTGGCAGACAGCGGGGCCGGCGCTCGGATAGTGCCGGCCCTGCATAGACCGGCAGGGGAGATCCTGGGACCTCCCCTGCCGGCCTCGGCCCATGGCCACCGCGGCCCACCGGGCATTTGCCCGGTGTGCCCGATGGCCAGTCCGGGCCTGCTTATCACGGTCTCGGTTTCAGGAGTTCCGGGAGGCCCTGCCAACAGCTACCCTGATACCAACTCCAGTTCCAAAGTGGCAGGAGATGGTCTGGGACTAAAAGTTCTGCTATGTCAAGGGCGACAACTCTCACAGCTCGGTCTCTCCGATAATACCAGGAAGGCATATGGAAGGGCTTTCCATGTTTTCAATAAATTCTTGTTGGACTTTAATGTCACTGACCAGTTTTCTATGGAAACCATTATTGCTTTTATTTCTTTTTGCCACTTTCATCTAACATTATCTTTCAATACCATCACATCCTCACCACTTGGCCTAACAAACAACGCTTTCTGTCGTCCTACCAAGTTAAGGCTATACTTAAAGGCATCAAAGACTC